GGAACAGTCAGGATTGTATAAAAGCTTTCCATTTTCTGGTCTGTGTCTGGGAATTATTTTGTTTGACATAGTTGATAGTCCATCAACTCTGGTTTGAGGAACCATTGAATGAGTGCAATATTTTTATCAGTAGCTGGCTAATGTAGAGTATGAGTTGAGTCAGGACATTCTTTTCATCTCCATTCAGATGTTTATGATCTTCTGTGCTTTCCCCGTGAGAGAGATCTCTGCAACATATGAGTTTTCTATCTGCCAAACTTTCAACATTTCTGGTCTCCAAGAAATGTAGTGTGAGAACTCCTGAGAGAAAAGAAATATGCAAAATGATGCAAGGGGGGGGGGGGTAAATATACACTGCTCAAAAAAAATAAAGGGAACACAAAAATAAGACATCCTAGATCTGAATGAATGAAATATTCCTATGAAATACTTTGTTCATTACATAGTTGAATGTGCTGACAACAAAATCACACAAAAATTCTCAATGGAAATCAAATTTAGCAACCCATGGAGGTCTGGATTTGGAGTTACACTCAAAATTAAAGTGGAAAAAAACACTACAGGCTGATCCAACTTTGATGTAATGTCCTTAAAACAAGTCAAAATGAGGCTCAGTAGTGTATGGCTTCTACATGCCTGTATGACCTCCCTACAATGCCTGGGCATGCTTTTGATGAGGTGGTGGATGGTCTCCTGAGGGATCTCCTCCCACACCTGGACTAAAGCATCCCCCAACTCCTGGACAGTCTGTGGTGCAATGTGGTATTGGTAGATGGAGCGAGACATGATGTCCCAGATGTGCTCAATTAGATTCAGGTCTGGGGAACGGGAGGGCCAGTCCATAGCATCAATGCCTTCATCTTGCAGGAACTGCTGACACACTCCAGCCACATGAGGTCTAGCATTGTTGTGCATTAGGAGAAACCCAGGGCCAACCGCACCAGCATATGGTCTCACAAGGGGTCTGAGGATCTCATCTCGGTACCTAATGGCAGTCAGGCTACCTCTGGCGAGCACATGGAGGACTGAGCAGCCCCCTAAAGAAATGCCACCCCACACCATTACTGACCCACTGCCAAACTGGTCATGCTGGAGGATGTTGCAGGCAGCAGAACGTTCTCCACAGCATTTCCAGACCCTGTCATGTCTGTCACATGTGCTCAGTGTGAACCTGCTTTCATCTGTGAAGAGCACAGGGCACCAGTGGCAAATTTGCCAATCTTGGTGTTCTCTGGCAAATGCCAAATGTCCTGCATGGTGTTGGGCTGTAAGCACAACCCCCACCTGTGGATGTCGGGCCCTCATACCACCCTCATGGAGTCTGTTTCTGACCTTTTGAGCAGCCACATGCACATTTGTGGCCCGCTGGAGGTCATTTTGCAGGGCTCTGGCAGTGCTCCTCCTGTCCCTCCTTGCACAAAGGTGGAGGTAGTGGTCCTGATGCTGGGTTGTTGCCCTCCTTCGGCCTCCTCCACATCTCCTGCTGTACTGGCCTGTCTCCTGGTAGTGCCTCAACTTTCTCAACTGTGTTAATATCAGATACGTAATGTAGGTTCCAGACTGATGAGTTGTATTCGAGTATTGGTCTAGCAAATGTTTTGTATGTTCTAGTTAGTAGTATGATATTACCAGAGAAAAAGCTATGTAGGATTAGGTTAACAAATTTTAATTCCTTTTTGGCTATGTAGTTACAGTGGGCGCTAGCATTTAGATAATTAGAGATTATTATTGCACGGTCCTTGACGGAGTTTGGGTCATCAACAAGGTCTTGATTATTCAGCTTGTATTTTATTTTCTGATTTTTTTTGCCAATTTGTAAGACAGAGCATTTATTTGTTGAGATTTGAAGTTGCCATTTGTTTGACCATTCTGATACATAGTCGAGGTCTTTTTGAAGGGTAGCAGTATTGTCTGTGGTGTTGAATAGCTTTACATCATCAGTGAAGAGAATGCAGTTGCTCTTAATATGATCACAGAGATCATTTATGTAGAGTATGAAGAGAGTTGGTCCTAGAACATTGCCTTAGGGGACACCACTGTTGATAGGTATAGAATTTGATAAGACGCTCCCAATTTTGACCATTTGTTGTCTGTTTGACAGGAATGCTTCTCCTGGGCTTGAAGAACAAGTAGAAGTTTCATAACTTCATATTGTATGCCAATTTGCTGTTCTGTGACCATGATAAAATTGATTGATTGATTGATTGGTTCGTTGTTACATGCATCCCTGGACCAACATATCCTTCTCATGCCCTGATTAAGTACCTCCCATTTAGACTGTTTTAATGAGTTTTATGGGGCTGCATGAGAACTGTCATGCATGAGAACTCCCTAACCTTACACTTGTCACACCTGACTTGTAAAAATGATTTTTAAAAATAGAAGAAACAGAAGGAGAAAAATGTTGAGCAACAAGATAAGGGATTATGAATTACATATGTTTGATTTTAAAATAGTAGGCAGAATCAAGCATATATAAAAGTCATGTTAAAATTTTAATCATGTTGGGATTTTGGGGGGGGGATGTTGAGGAAGGGATTTGGAGAGAATCCTTTCCATGAGTCCCTTGCTTATAGCTCACATCTCACTTATACAAAAACAGCAATCATTATAAAAATATTTACAGTTCTTTTGGATGATAAATAAATTACTGGACCACCCTTGGGCTGAATTGCAACAAATAACCCCTCAGAAATTCCAGCACATTGCTTAAGTAATAGATGTGCAATAAAAGTCTTTTTTCTGACATTTTCTAGTTGGAATTCATTTTGAAAAGTGTCTAATTTACTCTTCCATTTGTGTGAGAACAAAACATCCTGCTATATCTTAATATCCTTTCTGGAATACCCAGTGGAATCCCTTTTACTGATATCTTCCTTGAAGTATTGTCATCAAGACTGTATTCCACTGGCTTGTATTTTCCTGAAGGGGGAAGTCTGTCAATCAATTTACAATTTTAGAATAGTAAGCCACTTAAAGTCCCTTGGTTGAATTGGGCAGCTATATGACAGGAATGAACAAAAGAACCAATCAATCAATCAATCGAAACTCATATGATTGCTGATCAAAGGAGTGCAGCCAAATCCTGGCCAAATTTGTTTAAGAGCTGAAATAGGAAATGTTATGAAGAAACACAAACAAGAGTTGGCAAAGCCAGTCTTTCCAGTAATGCCCAAAAAAGAACAGGAGCTGTTATTTCAACAGTATATGCACAGGAAAGTGAAAGGCCCTGGAGACTATTAGGAATTTATCAGCCTGGATGCTTTACATGCGACTCAATTGGAAACATAACAAGGCAAGGAAATGCATTCAAATGTTATTCCTCTACATACATCCTATGACTTGTATGGCACCATTTGTCTCAAAGGAAACTGTTGATATTACAGATATCAAATACATATTTGTATATCAAATGAGCAATCATAGATCTTCAGCAGCCAAGAAGGGATACAGCACTTTAAAATTACAAAATCTTTACAGATTATCAATTTGACCTAAGTGTAGATTGCTTGCCAAAAGGAAGAAAGGAAGAAAGGCATGAATAGGTAAGTTTTCTAAGAAAAGGAAGCATGTTTCTTTCTTAAAAAGAAAGAAAAATCAACAGTTGTATTAAAATAAAATTGATTGCTGTTGGCCTTTACTACTCTGAAATTGGTCAAAGTGGAATCCCATCTAATTCATTTTGTATAATTTTCAGTGAATTGTTCAGATAGCAAAGTATAAGACATTATTAAATATTCTGCAGAGTTACTACCAATACTTGAAGAAAAGTTTTTCACAATACAATGCTTTCTAAATAGGTTTCATTGAAAATTCTCTTAATTCTTCATCAAATTGTGAGAGCTTTTCTGAAGGACCCTTGTTGGGGAAATAGTATAGGAAATGTTGAAATTTTGTTTTCTTTGTCTTCCTCTGCAGTTCATTTTGCTACATATTGAAATTAGCTAAGTTTTTGTTAGGGTTTATCATAAATTCCTTGGGAATGAAATACAGAATTTTATGCAAATAGAGTTAATGGTACAATGCATTTTCATTCCTACCTAAGGCTTGTATTTTGCATTAATGGTGGAGAGCAAAAATGCACAAATAAATTATGGTTGAAGAACTAAATTTGTTAAAAACACTGATATATTTCACTTTCTCTTCCTCCTCCTCCTTCTCCTTTTTCTCTCCCTCTCCCTCTCCCTCCCCCCACTTCTCATCAGTATATTAAACCTCTATTAAGTTTAATATGCATACTATCATTGCAAGGACCAATTTCCTGACCAGACATGAAAAAAGTGACCAAAAACCATAAAATCTTTCCTCTAATAACATTATATTGCTGTTGTCTTTAGTGGTACCTGGAAAATATATATCCAAAAATCTGTATATGTTGTAATTTCCTGTGGCATATTGCTGTTTAAATTCTGAAATCATGTTCAAATGATTTATCAGCTTTGACAAACTTTTATTAATGTTTTCAGCTCTGAATTCGCATCTCCTTTGCCTTATCCTGCACAGAACCTTCCTAATTGGATTTTATTCCTAACATCTGGTAGTTCTGATGCAAGTTCTACATTATTATCCTAGTTTGCTACTTCCATTTCATCTCAGCTATCTTGAAGTTGAACTCAACAGACACAAATGGTTTTTTTTTTCTATCTGCAGTTTTCACCTTATAGTTCTGAATTTGTGTTACAGCACTACCTGGTTTATGTATATCAGCCTTCTCAATTATTGTGTATGAATTCTGTTTGTTTCTTCTAAATCCCAACTAATGCACATTTTGAAAGTAATACAACTTTAAAAAAAATATGGGATAAATGAGTGTCATTTTCTCCCTTTTGTGTGGATTTGAAAATAGGAAATGTGTTGGCCCTAATATACTATAAGTTTTTCTCATAGTTTTTACCCTGGTATTCTGCCCTCTCCTATCTAATATGTGTAATGCATTGTATTATGTAACAAAACATTATTTTTCTTCTTGTTTTGATATTTCTACAGTATTTGAAATGGAAATGAAAAATCAGAACACCACAGTGACTTTTTTTATCCTTTTGGGATTTTCATACAATTATCCAGTCAATACTTTCCTTTTCCTGACATTTTTCCTGATGTATGCTTTGACTTTATTGGGAAATACGATGATTATGATAGTAACAAGTTATCTCCCCAGCCCCATGTATTTTTTTCTAAAACATCTGGCTTTTCTTGACATGTGTTTGTCTTCTGTTACTGTACCCAAGCTGTTGGTGATTTTTTGGGAGAAAAAGATTATTTCATATTCTGATTGCTTTATTCAGATATTCATTGTCTTTCTTACAGGAGGCACTGAAGATTGTGTCCTTGCTGCAATGGCTTATGACCGATATGCTGCCATTTGCAAGCCCCTCCATTATATACAAATTATGAATAAATCATTTTGTAAATGGCTGGTGGGTGGTGCATGGGTAGTTGGTTTTTTATGTGCTTTTGTAAATATATTACCTATTTTAAAGCTAGATTTCTGTGGACCAAATTTTATCAAGGATTTCAGCTGTGAATTTCCATCTCTACTTGCATTATCCTGCACAGAAACATCCTCCAATTGGATGGCATTTCTGATATCTGGTAGTTTTGTTGCAAGTTCTTCATTGATTATCATCCTAGTGTCCTATATCTGTATCATCTCAACTATCCTCAAGCTGAATTCAGCAGAAGCAAAAAGGAAAACTTTCTCTACCTGTAGTTCTCACCTTATTGTTGTAGTTTTGTATTATGGCACTGCCTGCTTTAGAAACATGAGGCCCAGCTCAGCCTTCTCAATTATTTTGGATGAATTCTTCTCTATTCAGTACAAGATTTCAACACCTATGCTGAACCCACTTATCTACAGCCTGAAAAATAGAGAAGTGAAGGAAGCCATAAAAAAACTAATGGCTACAAACCCCTGATTCCTTCTTCTGTATATTCAGTTTAATCTTGGATAAATTGACCGTACAATAGGAATTTAATTGAAAAACAAACGTATTCTTTCAGAAATATATTAAAACACATTGTTTGTCATAGGTGGTTGAATATTGGTTGAATTCAAAACAAGTGAATTTAATTTGTAAAGTTTGGTTGGCTTGCACTTAGTGAAAAATATTGAGCCAGGAAATATATATTGGAAGATGTTTTTTCCCTAAAATTTTCATCTCTATATCTACTTATGAAACATATTCAGATGGTTATTGTGTACAATAGGAATTCTCAAAATCTGTGGTTGTGTGACATCCTAAAGTAACAAATGAATTAGTGTGACTATTTCCCAAAATATGATATTGATGAGGATGAACATGATAACTGATAGGAGAACAAAACATTTTCCATTTGTGTTCAGATTTTTGTGTGAGAAGTTTGTATGCAGCCTAATAAATAGTAAATATATATTTTAATGAAACTGTTATTTATTTACCTGCCCTCATATTCTGTTCCTCCATCTTGTTTTTCATTCCATCAATCTGACACTTCATTTATAATGTTTTAATCACTGACATTTTTTCTTTCTCTTTTGTACTCTAAAACTCCTCAATTAGTGGAGATGATGGAATATATTGCTAAAGCATACAGTAACTCATAGAGAGGCCTTTGATGACAAAACAAGGGTTATTCTGCTATTTTTACTATGGCAGGCTTCACCTGCTGTACCCTGCTAAGTTCAAATGTTTTCAAGGGGCATACAGCTGGGAAGCAGTGTTTTCCAACCTTTTGTGTGGGTTCAGAAGCTGTTTGCTTCTCCTGAATAATAATACCTATTGAACAAAGGCTGATAAAAATGTGGATATTAACCTAACATGCTGAACCTGGTGCTGCATTTTCTTCTTGACTCTGAGGACTTGCTTCTATTTGAGGAGATCCTTTGTCTCATCTCTTGGTCCATAGGAGGCCACATGCAGAAGGGGCTTCTATATGGCTTGGAACTAAGTTAGCTGCAGGGGTGGGATTCAAATTTGTTAACAACCAGTTCTGTGGATATGGCCTAATTTGTGGGTGTGGCTTGGTGGTCACGTGACTGGCTTGGCACGGCTTGTATGTAGATATAATAAATATTTATATAAATATTGATTTTTTTATTAAAAAAGAGCAACTTTTAAACAATGGTTGCAATGGCTGGGAATTTCAGGAAGCTGCATATTCATTTATTATAATATGTATGCCACTTATTCATTGGATGGGCAATTTCACTTCACTTTTTTCTTAATTACTGCAAAAAACATATTCCATGGCTCTTTATTCTGTAAAGCCATGTAATGCAAACTTTATCTTTTGTGCGTGCATTCAAGTCAATCCTGACATCTTTCTGCAAACATCCCTGCAGATTTCTTGGCAAGATTTCAGAAAGGATTTGCCACTGCCATCTTCCTAGGGCTAGTGAAACAGTGAGTGGCCCAAGGTCACCCAGCTGGCTTTGGGCCTAAGGTGGGACTAGGCACTAGGGTAAGGTGGGACTACAATTCAGCCTCCTTGTTTCAAGCTTGATGCCTTAACCACTGCACCAAAATGGCTCCTAAGGAATGTATCTGGAGCTTAAACACACAGATAATTTCTTAATACGAAACAACCTGGGGCATATGTTTCTAAAATCTATTTTACATTGGATTCCACAATCTGAAAGCCTCTCAACATCCATGGCAATGGTGAGGGGGGAAAGGAAAAATAGAAAAAAGAAACAAGATTTATATGACTCTCATATAGACATAAGATTACTTTAATGATGAACAGAAATAGTTTGTAATTTTTCAATTTATAAAACAAAATTTAATCCCAAATTCTATATTTTGGAGCCTGTCAGACAAGTCACACAGATGAACAGGTGTCTAAGAACCAAGTTATAACAAACATGACCAAACAATATAAGAGAGAGAAAGCATTAAAGAAATAATGAACCTTGGAATTCATATATCAAGAGAACTCTTACATATGCTATCCTCTTTTATATCAATAATGCAGGATAGATGTTCTAAGAACAGACAATATAAATCAATTTAAAAAGAATACGAAATAAGAATTAAAAAATGAAACATAAACCTTGAGCAATATAACAAGCAAGCCATGCTACTGCTCCTAAGGTGAATATTCAACTATATATTTTATATAATAACCATTAATGCCTGTCAGAAACAGAAGGGCATTGTCAGCACGCTAACCCCAACTATGCTCTTCACAATGTTCATGATCAGGCCCCAGTTGGAACCTGGAGGCGCCAAAGAAGCCAACTCCGGGGGGTGGGGGGAAGAAAGGATGCGAGGGAGATCAGGCAGGTGAAACAGGGCAGGGAACCTGGGAAGAGGGAGGGCAAGGACGGCTCTCTATGCCCTCACGGAGCCTCAGACTATGGAGAGGGGTCAGTGGGCCGCTTCGAGCACCAGCTTCCCACCAAAACAAACTCTTCTCCTGCAAGCCGGCTCCAACTGCACATGTCCTCATTCTCCTGCTCTTCTGGCGCTTCTGGGATGCGACACTCCACCTACGTGGAATTCTTAGCCTTCGCCTTGATCTTCACTGGTGACGCACTTGGAGCGATGGTCAGGTTGTTTTCCTGACCATCGCTAGCATCAGCAGCAACAAAAGAAAGTGGCGCTCCCACTCTGCCGCAGCATGGTAGGTGGCAACTGCTAGTGTTAAGAGGAGTTGCTATGGCAATTTCCCTCCTCCTTCTCCTCCTCCTCCCCCCCTCACTTGTCACCTCCCTCTCAGCTTCAACCACACATGTCCTCATTCCCCTGCTCTGTTGGCACTTCCAGGATGTGAAACCATAGAGGGGGACCTTGCCTAGAGCAGCACAACTGCAACGTGCATTGGACTTGCCCCCATAGGACTGAAGCTGAGAAGGAGGTGGCAAGTGGGGAGGAAGGAGGAGGGAAGTTCATCCACATGCTTAAAGCAGGGCCATGAGCACACACACACTCCGCCCCAGCCCTCCCAAAGCACCTCCGTGGGCAGCAGAGGTGGCAGACCTGGCTGCCTCCTGTTTCACGGTGCTGCTTATGGGTGGCGGCTGGGTCCGCTGCCTGCCACATGGTAAGGAGAGCTGGGAGAGCACTGCGTGGTGGCTTAGCCAACCAGCTGAGACCGGGGATGTTGGGGGGAAAAACTAGGTAGGTTGGGCAAGGCCTGGGGAGCCCCAGGGACAGTGGGGGAAGGGCAGCCTTATTTAACTGACTGGGCAGGGAGTGAGAAGCAGACAAAGAGGGGCGGGGGGGGGGCATTTTACCAGTTCTCCGAACTACCAGGAGCCCTAACATCCGGTTCTATAGAACTGGACCAAACCGGTAGAATCCCACCCCTGGTTAGCTGAGGGATTGTCTTTTACCCATCTGATAAGATTCACAGATTGAGCATGCTATAGTTCCCATCAGCCAAACAATACTAACTGACTAGAAAGGTCTTTTTCTGCTGCAGCCCCTACCTTATAGAATATTATCCCTTTAGAATGGTTCCAACCCTGTTTACTTTTCACAAATCTTTAACAACTTGGCTATCTACCTGGGACTGGACTTCAGAATCTGTGAAGGGGTCTATTACTTGGATCTATTATTAGTTGATTCACCATGGCTAAGGTTTATACTTATTTATTTTGTGCATGTTTTTATTGTTTCAATGACTTTTAAATTATTTTTCACTATTTTAGAAATTTAAAATTGTAAGCCCTTCAGAATCACTTCATTAAGATGAGTGGCTATAGAAATTGATTAATTGATTGAATTGATTGATTGATTGATTGACTGACTGACTGACTGAATGAGTGATACATATACATATAAAGACACATACACGTTTTATCATCATTTATATGTTATATACACTGCTCAAAAAAAATAAAGGGAACACAAAAATAAGACATCCTAGATCTGAATGAATAAAATATTCTTATTAAATACTTTGTTCATTACATAGTTGAATGTGCTGACAACAAAATCACACAAAAATTATCAATGGAAATCAAATTTAGAGTCTGGATTTAGAGTTACACTCAAAATTAAAGTGGAAAAAAACATTACTGGCTGATCCAACTTTGATGTAATCCTTAAAACAAATCAAATGAGGCCCAGTAGTGTGTGTGGCCTCCACGTGCCTATATGACCTCCCTACAATGCCTGGGCATGCTCCTGATGAGGTGGCGGATGGTCTCCTGAGGGATCTCCTCTCACACCTGGACTAAAGCATCCCCCAACTTCTAGACAGTCTGTGGTGCAATTTGGCATTGGTGGATGGAGCGAGACATGATGTCCCAGATGTGATTAATTGGATTCAGGTCTGGGGAACGGGAGGGCCAGTCCATAGCATCACTGCCTTCATCTTGCAGGAACTGCTGACACACTCCAGCCACATGAGGTCTAGAATTGTCATGCATTAGGAGGAACCCAGGGCCAACTGCACCAGCATATGGTCCCACAAGGGGTCTGAGGATCTCATCTCGGTACCTAATGGCAGTCAGGCTACCTCTGGCAAGCACATGGAGGGCTGTGCGGCCCCCTAAAGAAATGCCATCCCACACCATTACTGACTCACTGCCAAACCGGTCATGCTGGAGGATGTTGCAGGCAGCAGAATATTCTCCACGGCATCTCCAGACCCTGTCACATTTGTCACAGGTGCTCAGTGTGAACCTGCTTTCATCTGTGAAGAGCACAGGGCGCCAGTGGTGAATTTGCCAATCATGGTGTTCTCTGGCAAAGGCCAAATGTCCTGTACGGTGTTATGCTGTAAGTACAACCCCCACCTGTGGACGTCGGGTCCTCATACCACTTTCATGGAGTCTGTTTCTGACTGTTTGAGTAGCCACATGCACATTTATGGCCCGCTGGAGGTCATTTTGCAGGGCTCTGGCAGTGCTCCTCCTGTCCCTTCTTGCACAAAGGCAGAGGTTGCCCTCCTACGGCCTCCTTCACATCTCCTGATGTACTGGCCT